TCAAAGATGTTCAAATAAGCCTTGTCTAAAGCTAATGCGTTACAGATAAACCCAACTAATTAATAATAGTTAAATTCGCCGCAGTGATTTTGAATCTGGTTTTGATTTTTGCGTCTAATTTCTGTGAAATGAATTGATTAATGTTGGCAATAGATACTGAGATTTTCCTGGTGGGTTTCTCCTGAGGAGATAAGGCTGGCATAAATTTTAAGAAGGATTATTAATGGGAAGCACCTGAACCCAAATGGTTCCTGCCAAATCTGTATCTCATGATCCTTTTCTAACATTGGTGAATTAAATGAGGCAGTCATGTAAGTAGCACTTTGTTAGAGCATGATGAACTAGAGGTAACCTGAAACACTTCAGAAGGTACTGTCATGCAATAACTTCTCTATTGCCTAGCTTCCTGCCAAGAAAGGGCTTAATAACTAACGCACTCTTCTCTGAATGTTGGCATAGGACTTCCCTGAATGGTGTCTCCCTGTCTCTATGAAACCAATCAGTATATGTATTTTCTGAGGCATACAATGGTGGGTCCAAGAAGATTTCATGGAGTGAATTTAGAAGAGCTTCTCAATGGTAATTGTAGGGACATCCAAAGTACTGGAAAGCATTGCAGCTTTCTTTCAGTTTTCCTTAGATAGCTTCATTGTTCAGTGCTGATAGGTCCCAAAAAGTTTCCATGTGGTGTGCTGAAGAAATTAATGTATAGAAATTAATGATAGATCTCCCTGTTGTCAGATAACAATACGGATGGCATGCCCCAATACTACTGCTATCAAAAGACCTTATCTCAGTGTCGTGGTTTAAACACAGTCAGCCATAAATCAGCCACGCAGTTTCTTTCTCACTCCGCTCCCTTTTCTTCTCCCTGCTCCCAGAGGGATGGGGAGGAGAACTGAAAGAATGCAACTCCCACGGGCTGAGATAAGAACAGTTTATTATCTAAGGTATAACACAAACCACTACTGCTACCACCAATAATAATAATGATAAAGGAAATAACAAGGGAAGAGAATACAATACCACCTGCCCACTGATAATATCCAGCCTGACCAAGCACCAACCAATACCTAGTCCCACCCTGCAGTGAACTAGCCCTTCTGGGTAACTCCCAGTTACATCCTGGGCATGGTATGCTGTGGTATGCAATACTTCTTTGGTCAGTTTGGGTCAGGTGTCCTGTCTCTGCTTCCTCCTGGTTTTCCCTCTTCCCTGGCAGACCATGAGGCTCAGAAAGTCCTTGGTCAGACTAAACATGTGAGCAGTAACTAAAAACATCGGTGTTATCAGCGCTGTTCCCAGGCCAAAAGTCAAAACCACAGCACTGCACCAGCTACTAAGAAGGAGGAAAAAATGACTGCTACTGCTGAACCCAGGACACTTAGCTATCATGTTTCTGTGGTGGATTTCCCCCAAAACCTTTAGATTTCTGTGTCTACATGAATGAACAGAGCACTGTATAGATATTAAGCTCTTCAATTCTAGGAAGAGCTGTACTTAATGTAAACAGACTGGTTGTTGATTTGAGCATGTGTAACATATCCATCTGCTTCCTAGAAGACCTCCTGTGCTGCACATGTGTAGAAAATCTGCAGCTTCTCAGAAGATTTAGTACGTTGAATGCTATTCTTCTGGTCTGTACCTGTAGAAATATGTGGGAATTAAAAACACTCGGCTCCCTGGTCAGAAGCTTCTGCCAGTTTTCCAGATACTCCGAATGCATGAATGCATGCAGAATTCCCCTTCCCCACCATGGGGAACATGACTTTTAAGCAGAAGATGCCCTTTCTGAGGCAAATCTGAATTTACAGTAGCCTCCTTAATATTGACAAAAAAAACATTTTTCTTATGATGTTCGGAAAAAAGGGGGAAGAATTTAGGTCCCTAGAGGCAGTTTTGGATTTGGTGCCGCTGGGAGAAGGATCTAGTCGCCCATGAGGGTTTTATTCTGCATCTCACTAAATACAAAGTGGATGTTTAATCCTTATAGGCAAGCACAGTTAACAGGATGTGGTGTGTGATCTAATACATTATGCTAATTTATCTTGTTCCATGGCCCTCTGTAGTCCTCCTATACTGCAAATGTAAAAGAATGGATGTAATCCATTTTGTATCTTAATTGGCAGACATCCTCTGAAAAGCACGTTGCCACTCAAGATGGTAAATGTGTACAACTGACAAGTATGCATTCTCTTTTGGGAGAAGTTTGCACCTTTGTGGGGAATGAGAAAATTAAAATGCTGGAAATAAAAGCCCTATCATGAAAATGGCAGTGCAGCAGCAACGGTTTCTCACGCCACTAAAATGAGCTGGTTCTGTTAAAAACTTTGATTCCCATTTTTCTTGGCAAAAGCCATGATTTTCTTACAAAATTCTCGATTATGAAGAAAGTCCACCGTTGTCTTGGTTTTGTGACTGTGGTATTCTCTTAGGTTTTATTTTCTAGGTGTAATGAATGTATTGCTTGCTCTTATCTTATTTGTGCAACTGAAGTGATAAAGGTTCTGGAATATTTCAGAAGCAATGATGTTGATTGATTTGTGACATTGCCATTTAGCCTAATTTTGAAAGAAGGCCAAGAATATTAATAATAATTAAAAAAAAATCCAAAACCCAACCACCAAAACAACTAAACCAAAAAAAACCTCACCATTTAATATGCATTGTATGTGTACACTACCACCACCATCCAAACCCGCGAGTTTTCCTCTTGAATTTGGGTGGTTGAGTTCAATTTCTGGGTGCTTTTTCTACTGTTGGTTGGTTTCCAATCAGAAAAAGCTATTTTTCTTCTTCCTGGAGTTTTGATGTTGGCCTCCAAAATTCCTAATTTTCATGTCTGCTAGAAGTACATCTGCCTTCCTTTAACTTACACAACGAAGCTGAAAGAAAAAAGTTGAATTCTTTACAAGAATTAGTAGAAACCTATGTAACACACTGATGTCACTGTCTATCCAGCATGTAACAGATCCCCTATAAATCCCTTACCCCAGGAGATCTTCCACTGACAGGCAGACAATTAGTATTTTCAGAGTGCTGCTAACTTGTTACAGTTGTTTAATGACCATTGAAGTAGTGTGTCCATCACAAGTCATAGTTATATTCATCTGCTCATATGATAATGAGTTCAGTCTGCTTGGCAATAGTCAAGCTTTTTCCATACAAACTAACATGAATGGCAAAAATCTATTCCTTAAAGAAGGCTGGTGGAAGATTTGCAGAGGGCTGGTTTAGTGTGTGAAACAGAGCTGGGTTTGTTCCGTCATTTTTTGAAGATCCCATGATATCTCCTCTTTGACTTTGGGGAGTATTAGTATACTTACATACAGAAGTGCTTTTCTAAATCTTACTAAACACCTAATCTCTGGGTTCAGGTGCCATTGTAAGTCTGGACATCACTTTGAATCTTTTATGTAAGTGACACCACTTTAAATTTCATTCTGCTGTTTTATTTTCTGAGTAAAATTATAGATATTTTGCTGCCATGCATTTACTTTGGCATCATCTTAAGGTCACTATTTTGTACAAGATGAAGCTGAGTGAACTTGTGCTGGTCTTATGGCTGATGATTTTGCTCTTGTTCTGCCCCTGTCCTTTTCTTGGTCTTCACCAAAAGCCTGAATCTCTCAGTGAACGCATAAAGGCTAATTTGTCCCTTTAAACGTAAACACAGTGGAGTCAATGTTGTATGTTCATAGGTAGTTTATGGGTATTTGTTGATTTTTAAAAGATCAAAAAGCAAAGAATGTTGTGTTTGCATGGGTGCGCTACAACGGAAAGTTGTTCCTACCTGTGTCTGTTCTTCCAGGTACTCCTTGATCTCTGATTCGTATGCTCTGATGCTTCTCTCATTTCTGCCCAAATTGCCCCTATTCTTCTTTCTAGTCCTAAGAGCTTTCCTTATCCTGGTTTCATTCCCAGCAATCTGACTTTGTAGCTTATCTGAGAGCCTGTGTTAAAGAAGGACTGCTCTAGAGGACTGCTGGTTACGCACAATCAGTTTATATATAATAATATAGAATTTAATCATCCTGGACTGACTTTATAGTACAAACACACCTCCAAGCCACAGTTCTCCTCCAAGTCGCTGCCTGTTGAAACCAGGAAGGTGTTAGGGGAAAAAAGAATGTGTTACTGTTGCCTTTTCAGGCCAACAAATATGAGAGGTGTTACGTTCTCCATCGCTGTATACACCTTACCGGAGGGAACATCCAGGCAGTATAAAAGCCACACAGCTTTAAATCTACTCGGAATATAAGAAGCAGCATTCTATTTATTCTACTCTTCTTTAGGTGAAAAAAAAAAATAAAGGTGAGGCACAATTTAGGTACAAATGAAGATTTTGCTTTTTTAAGTTAAAGGGTATTTTGCTGTAAATTGGTTACCAGGCCACTAGAAAGATCAGCCTACTGAAGATGGATGTAAGTATTGTAGCAGTGCATTAGTGCTGTGATCAATTGGATTCTGCTGTGCAAAGACAGAATTGTCTCTCTGTTCCTACCTATTGCTAATAAATACAGGAATGACTGCAGGCTCTAGTCATTCTTGTGTTGGAAGAAATGGAAATTTTCCTGGTTGAAATTCACAGGCTTTTCTTCCTAGAGGATTTATTACATTTTTCTATCCTCTCCAATAACAGCAGCAGAAATAATAAATGTTCTGTAGCTGAAAAGGTAAGATTTCTAAACACTGGGTGCATCTGCTCTCGATAAGCTATTTATCCCCAATTCTGCATCTAAAAAGAAAGGAGAGCAGTAATCCCTCACCTCCTGGAACCTCAGGATATTATCTCACTGTTTATTTGCTATGTGCTAGGCTGCTCTAATGAGCTGTTGAATCTAGATTTGCATGTCACTTTTTCAGCCAAGTGTTGACATGACTGTGCCACATGGGATTTCCATTGCCAGCAGTCTTACAAGCTTTATTACACTAAGCACAGCTTGCAGTCATTCTAAGTTATGAAAAAAATAACTTAGTTACTCTTTGTCTTTTTCAAGGAGTAACTGGGTGACCTCTTACAGAGTATTGGTGAGCAATGACAGTCATGCATGGACTGCTGTCAGAAACGAATCTGGAGATGTGGTGAGTATCACAAAACAAAAGTTTTATGAAGAGCAGAGGTGGGAAAGTGGGGCTGTCCACATGGAGTTTTGATTTGCCTGATTGGTCAGTTAAAGACTACAAAGCAATTTCTCTCAGTCTTCCCCCTAATTTTAAGAGCAAATCACATAATAGGGAGAGGGATCCAGAATATCCTATATAGCAAACCTGCATGTGTCTGCCTATGGATGCGAATGCCACCCTGGCAATGGTCTGGCCTATGATGTGTTTCTTGTTGCATGGCCCATGCAAGGATTAGCATCAGTCTGATGATCCCTGAGGACATCTCATGCCCATGAGGTGCCTATTGCCAGAGAGAGTGTAGAATCCCCTCTCTGAGGGGCATGGGGGGAATTTTGTTCTTTGGAGAGCAGCTCTGGCCTTATCCACTGTCATCATGGGGCTGTACCAGGTGACTTTGTTACTATTACCCCAAGTGCTAAAAGACTTTTTGAAGAGCTGATCTTCCATTTTTTGTATGTTTGGCCTGCATAGATATTTGAAGGAAACAGTGAAAAAGAGATCCCAGTTCTCAATATGTTGCCGGAGCCACTGGTTGCTCGTTATATCCGCATAAACCCACGGTCCTGGTTCCAAGAAGGTAGCATCTGTATGAGACTGGAAATCTTAGGGTGTCCTTTGCCAGGTAAGAGTCTTTCTCAAGTGATGTTGATGTGGCTGCCTATAGCAAGACTCAGAAATTTTATTTCCTTTGGATATTTTTGCTTTTGATGCAATACCTGTAAGTACAGTTATGCAGAAAGAAAAAAAAAATCTGTCCAGATACATGATCAGTATCAAGATAAATCTTCAAATGCAATCACATAGTATCTACAAATGGTTTTATTAATAAAACAGCATTGCGTGGGTGATCTAACAAGATTTTCTGTGTTGTTTGGGCTGAAGTGCAGCACAATTAATCTTACAGAGTGTGCATGTACTGGGGAGGCAATAGGATTATGTATCAGGACAGTCACTTGCAGATGTCTTGAGTTTCTCAGGCAAGGAAAAGCATTATATTATGTAGTATGATGATTATTTATTATTATGATTTCATACAAGCCATAGGACTTACCTAAATTAATTTGAAGGCAAATAATGGAACTGAACTAGTGTTTATCTTGTTAGAGGGGAAGGAGGGGAATTGGGGATGTAAAGAATTTCTAGCCAATTTCAAGTGCTATCAAATCCAGCATGATCCTTAGTAAGTCTCAGGTAAAGGTAAATGGTCCAGTCCTTGGTAAAGATTGGAAGAAGCTTTCAAATGTTTTCTCAATTGTCCACTATTCATTCCACATCTCTCATTTTCTTTGTTTTATTTTGCTCTTTGATCTTAAATTCCTGCACCTTGGGGACAGTTCTTTGTTTGGGTTCTTTATTGCCTTTCCAGAGCCCACCATTACTGCTTTATCTGTTCCTGCTGCTTCTTAGAGATTTGCTACCTCCAATTCCACTGTCCATGTAGGGTCTTCACATGCCAAGCAGAGGTAGCCTGATTTTCGTCTTTTAGGTGTTTAGATACGCAGGAAACAAAACCAGTCTGGGGCACAGAAGGGATAATTCTTTATCAAAGAGAAGTATGGGGCAAGTATTATCATGAAACTTAGTAGGTAGGTGTATTACTATGAAGCAGTAAAATTTAGCAGCGCTCAGACAACTGCTTTTCTGTAGGTAACAAATGCATCCTGGAGTTGAATGGCAGTGACCAGGGTGTCCTGTGTATGTGAATATTCATGTTTTCAATAGGATTCTGATTTCTTCCAACCATGGATTTAGAAAACTTCAACTTTGTGGGTTTCTTGTCCTCCATTATAGCTTTTACCCTGAAGGGGCAATTCCAGAGCTAGTATTTCCCCTTCTGTCTTGAAAGGACCAGTGGGCTGTCGGAAAGTAGTGATCTATCCCAAATTCCTGTGCTGGTTTGCAGAGGATCCACCCTATGACACAGGGCATGAGGCTCAAGGAAGAACATAGGTACTTGAAAAGGAAAGAGAAAAAAATGTTGATATTTGAAAAAGTGATTTTTATTAAGTGCAGCAGTTATTTACACTTGATTCTCATTTGCACATACACCCATACAAGGCCAAATTCTGCTTTGCAGTGTTAGCATTTGTCACCCTTCAGCTTCACAGGGCTGTATCAGTGGGTGAAACTGCTACCAAGGTAAGACCATAGCTGCACTTCCATCAGCACTCCAATGAGTGCTATTCCAGCTTGTTGCAGGTCTTGGATTAGCATAGAAATGTAATCAGTGCTTCTTCCTGGTATTCATTTATTGAGTTAATTCCCTGCGGTTGCTGATTCCATTTATCCCTGAAAGAAAATACCAGAATCATTCATTGAGAAATGCATTGGGAATTGGGTGTGTTTATTCAAAATGTAATTGGACTGAAAGAACTAGTAGGTTTTGATAAGCTGCCTACCCATCCTTTTAGCTCAGAAAGAACTGATGTTCCTTTCTTCTAGCTCATTTTATCCATCGCACACAAGGCTCCTAGAGCAAACCTGGTCCTCGGCTTGCAGAGGCCTGTTTTCTTCCTGTAGGACATATGTAGTTCCCTGTAACTGGATTCCTCACCCTTTATTAGTGTCTTACTTGTTCCAAGTTAGATAACTCACTGGTGTGATAGTGCTGCTCTGATACACTGTATTGCAGTGTGACTAGAAATGAAGTCTTCTTTTCTGACGGAGTTTTCCACTATAAAACTGAGCAAGTCTCCTAAGTTCAAAGTCAGGAGGTGGAGCTCTGTCAATTCAAACACCTCTGTCCTTTCCAAAGCCCAAAGACCTATGAAAGAAGTTATGTGATGCTCAGTTTCCTTGAATACCTGCTGTGGGTTTGATTATATTTGCACTCTGTGTGTGAACATACAAGAAATCACGTTGTCGAGAGCAGCAGTTTGGATGTGGTTTAGGACTCCCATGCACAGTGTCCTGAGGAAACAACAGCGACAGGCAGATATAGGGCATAGGGAAATACCCCAAGAAAAAAGAGGGTGGAAGGAAGGAAAGTAATTTTTCAGAACTGTGAATTTCTTGTGTTTTAAACTTATAATGTTAGGGTTTCTATCTTTATTAATCCCTGAGTAAATGCAGCAATTTGCATTCAGGCTGTGCTGTAGATCAGCTTTCCATCACGTAGGCTCACAAGGGAGGGTAAGAAAGGAATACCAGATAAAGGATAAACCTCAATAAGGTATTAATATTCTAGGAAAGCTTGTTTGCATCGACAGAATGAGATGGCAATGGTTAGGACCCATTCCTGTGGTTTGTGAATATACCTCCTGCCTATGCATGGTGTACCAAGAGTTGGAAAAATCATGAGAAATTACTATTTAGATAACTGGAGCAGAGGAGTTACTGATTAGATAATCTGTATTACATAAAATGATGGTAATTTCAATCAGTGAAATATACTACTTATACATTTTTGGTCTATTGTAGGCTAGTCTTGACAAACAACCTTTTTCTAACCTATTACAGGAGCTCTACAAAAAAAGCTGTGTTATCCAACTGTGTCAGCACTGTCTTTCAGATGGGAGAAGTGATTTGCTGTTTCACCAAGGGAAAAACATTTAGCTGATGCCAGAAAAGGAAAAAAAGGGAAGATGCCATAAAAGCCTACCTATAGCAGAGGATCAGAGGTGCCATTCCTCACTGGGGAAAAAGAAGACAAAAGCACCAGCATTTAATTCCCTCTCCATTTTCCCAAAATGTTGGTATTTACATAGGCATAGACTGATACACACAATCTTTTGCAGTTGCCTCAGAGGGCTGGATGTACTTTCCGTGCCTCTTCTTTCTTGAACCTAAGGAAAATCAAAAAGAAACTGCATATGATCAAAAGTACCCAGAGATAGGAGAGAGAAAATTAGCTGAGCTCTTCATGCATTTATTTATACTGTAGAGTATTCAAGGCAATGGGCAATTATTTTAATGGAATAAATTTTTTATTAGATTTAATTTTTAATAATTCTTATATAGAAAGCTATCATTGGTATCATGATTATGCCATCACTTTCAACCCATGATAAAAAATGAACTCTACTATGTAATGGAGTGAGGTGTTTTGCAGAGGATGCACCATTTGGTTTTAATTTCCTTGCTTGTCTCTTATTGCCAGGCTACCTGGTTTTCTAGTGCTCACCTTGTATAAAACGGTGACTTTCTGCAAGTATCTTTCACTATAAGTGATATTGCATAAATTCAGCTAACTGCTTGCGAGAGTAATTTGTGCTTAGAGTGACAGTCTGCACTTATGTTCTGCTTTGTCATTGCAAAGCTAAAACTTAATATTGGGCAATGTAATATTTTTTGAAGAGTTTGCTGGGTAAAAATGAGACCATATTCAATCATTCTCCTGGGAAAAGCAAATGTATTCTGGTTCTCCATACTTATCAAGACGAATGTGTAGCTACCCCCAGCAATGCAGTGGTTCTCATTAAAAGATTTTCTTTCATATTTTATTTGTAAAATGGAGTTTTGAGGAATCAGGATGCTTTGGGATGGAATGGACGGTATCACCTAATTCCAAAAGAATTCTAGTTATTATAAGAATCAAACTGTGGGAAATCATTAGAAAAATCAAATGTTGGCAGAAAAATTTAAGAAGCATACTGCAGGCTAAGAGTTTGGGTTTCCTCTCACCCATTATCATCATTCCTCATGCTTAACTGGAATTATTTGTTTGGTATTTGACTATACATGAACATATATAGAAAAGATTCCATGTATGGTTGAAGAATATGATTTCACTGCTGATTTAGTGTGTGATGTTAATGCTCATGACTGCCATGAAATAGATCATGTGGAAAAAAACTAAAAATCATCTGAGTTGTCTGACAGCAGATTTTTTTTTCAGGATTTTTTTTCATGTGTGCTGTCTGTGGCATGTTCAGTTTTGTGAAGACAAGTCAAATTTACTTGTACTAAATGGAAATGAAAATATCAGTCATTTGCAAAATGGCACGGTGAGATTATTAGGGCAGTCTAAAGGATTTAGACTAGAGTTTTATCTAAATCACTTGGATTGACTTCAGTATCTTGTCCACTTTGAGCACCATATGAGTGCCACTTGTGAGCTTGCAAGCTTCATTGATATGACAGCATACAACTTAGTGTAGGACTTCTGTAAGAAAGAAGCACATGAACAAATCATATGGGGAATGGGTGCAGGTTTTACTTAGTAAATGAATTTTGACAGTATTTTTTGTGAGTGTTAATTTCATCTTCAAGTCATTGCAAAGCCCATGTCATAACTTTCTCGTGCCAGCTCAGAGCATACTGAAAACTAAAGGAGGTAAGAAACAACCAGCACCCATTGTTGTTTTTTGAATAATAACTGGAAACCCACTGGAAGCATCAGGGCTCCTCCTCTTGAGGTGCTGTGTAGAGCTGTAATATAACAGAAAATCCATTCTATACATCCAACTGATGAGCAGTCAGTCCTCTGGTACTTTCATGGGTAGTTCCTGGAGCTCTCAGAGAGTGGTTGGGCATTTTAGAGCTTCTTAGGCACTTCTCCATACTTACAAAGAATAGAAATATGAAGGTACATTTACCTACAAACTTAGTTATCTCTAGTGTCTAGTAAAGACACATTAATGATAGAAAAAAACAGTATTCCCCTGTATAAATGGGAGTGCCACAGTTTTGCAGGATCCCTTCTCCTGAGAAGTAAAAGAGACTGAATTAGTCCTGTGAATAAATGAATGCATTTCCCTTCTAATTCTTCCATGGTTTGAGTTTCTTAATCTCTTATTCTCTGTCTTATTAAAGAAAATAATTTTTGCCAAAGTGGACCTAACCATCTGTGCACAAGACTCTACATTTTAGCTTTTAATTTTTCTGCTGCAGCAGGAATACAGTGCTCCAAGCAGACTGACAGTAGAGCCTGGCAGAAATAGGAGTGTTAATTCTCTAGGGAGCTGTCAAATTGTGCACTGTTTTTGAGGAAGGACCGAAGTTACAATCATTCTCACTGTATGATTTTTATACTTATTTTCCACCAACTCTACAGAGTTCACAGTCATTCCCATGATATTAACGTTTGATGTATGGAAAAAGTGCCAGACTTTGAAAGGAATGGGATTAAAGTATTAGGAAAAAAATATCGGCTGCTGTGTATTTTGGCTCATGGTGATAAGGAAAAGCCTTCAATATCCTGGCAGTTTTATGATGTTTATTTTTATATTGTTACAAGAGAGATTTTTACAGTGGTGAAGATATGCTGTGTGGCATTAAACACATTGCCTCCAGAAGGGGAGGGGTTTCGTGATTTACATTTCTCAGTCATCAATATATTAATGAATAATCTCTATGAATTAATATGGGTTGACCCTTTAAGCATTTGGCATTCCAGAATCATCTGCAGCATTAGTGCAGCATTATGGCTGTCAGTGGGCTTGCATCAATTTAGCCTGCAATTAGATTTGAAAGAACACCTGAAAATGCAGTTGAATTATGTGAAACTTAACCCTCTGGATTCTTTGAAACTTTCTTTTAATAAGCAAAGAAATCTTATTTCCTCACCTGATTAGGCTCTAATTTAAATCCATTTCCTGGTGGTCTTGTTACAGAATAAGTTTTCACTGGGAAGGAGAGTCTGCATTGAACAAGCAGATTTTGTTGAGGCAAGGTGGGGTTTTGACATTTTTCAGTCATGTTTTGGAGTAAAGTTCAACCTTCCATCATTTTTGCTGTAGTTTAGAGGATGAACTGGAGACAAGCATGTGAATGAAGAGTAAATAAGTGGTAGAGAACATGAGTGTTACAGTGAAGCTTAATGGAACTTTCATGTTTCATTTCATAAATAACTTAAATAGTTCAAATTTTGCTTTTTTTTCCACATAAGAAAAAAAAAAGAAAAAAACCAACAAAACCCAAACACTTTTATAATTCCATGCAAAGAAGAAATTTGAGCATTTAGAGGTTTAATGTCAAATACGAAGCTTCAAAATGTTGTTATAAGGTATTTTTAAGTTTTCCGTAAATTCATTGTGTTGTTAGAGGATAATATCTGTGTACTCTTCCTACTAAACATTACGCTTATTGTCCCCAAAACCAATCACAACTGATGGGTGATGCCGTTTAGAAAATAGCCAGCCAAACCTTTTTTCTTCTCTAGAGATAACGTCTTTTGATTGTGTCGCAATAAGGCAGGATCATATGTAGGCTTTCATATTTGGCTTTTTTTCCAACAATCTTAAATAAAGATTGTTTTCTGCAAAGAGAAAATTTTTCCTAACAGCCTGACAGCCACTGATTTCACAGACTCAAAATTCCAGACATCCCAGATACAGCAAATTAAGGAATGTGTCCAGTGTTTTCCAAATAGACTTGTTTTTTTCTAAAACCAAATCACAGTAGATTAGACTAAGGAGCACATATACAAAAATGAGCCCTGAGCAGTCTTGGCCTGGTTTGTTTTGTTTTCCAGGTGAAAGGCTTGGAAAGGCAAGGAAACAAATGTTTTTGTTCTATCCACATGTTCTCCTTTGATACTTCAAGCGCACAAATTATAACTTGTATCCACAAATTAATGAATATGCTAACTTTAAAGTAACAAAGAGATCCAACAACTGCAAAGAAATGTTTAGGAAAGTAATCAGGAATGATTAATATTCACAGTAGAGCCTTTCAGTACTTTGCAAGCAGAGCATAGACTCTGAAAATACTCATCCAGAAAGCTAAAAGATAATTCCTTCTAATAGCAAATAAATCAAGTAGACAAAAAACATTTACTGGGGCTTTTTCTTGAGTTGTGATTTCCACCCCCCACCCCTTATCTTGTGTCTAACTCATTTTGCAGTGTCTTTTGCTCTCCTCTATAGCTGAAGGATGCCCTACTGTTTTTCTCTTGACATTAAGATTTTTGTGCAGACTAGTTCTCTAGCAAGCTGATTCCTGCTGTCTCCTTCCTTCTGTTTGAATCTATGTGAGATGACTTGTGCAGTAATTAGAAATATTTCAAATTTGTTGGGTTTTTGACTTTTGCCTTTGAAAGATGTTTTAAATACATATAGGCACTTGGAATTCAGATTTCCACATTCTTTGAATGCGCTATGATGGCTAAGCATCTTTAAATCTGACATTCATAAGCGCATGAAAATCTGTTTATTTCTTTCCTCAGACCCAAATAATTATTACCACAGGAGAAACGAAATGACAACCACAGATAACCTGGACTTCAAGCATCACAACTACAAGGAAATGAGGCAGGTAGGCAAAGAAGCTGGAGTGTGATCTCTTAGATGGAGTGTGGATGGGTGCAGGTTTTTGACGTTGTGGAGTCTGAATTCTACACTGTTAAATATATTACTAAATAGTGTCTGAAATCAGACTAAAAAAATCTTTTCCCTTAATTTAATCTGTTAAAAGAAGTAATTTATTAAAATCCCAAAGTCTTAATTTGTACATCATTTAACCTAAAACATGACTACATGGCAGGGGAAGTATTTACATATCCTGTGCCATCATTTTTCTTCCATCTGTATTGGAGTGGTGAATGTTAGTGGTTACTCCTTTCTTAGTCTTAGTCATCAGAATTCTTCTGCATTTCAGTGGGTTTAGAAAATCAGAATGAACCATACAGTGTCCAATTCTGTTTTCACAGTTGTGAAAATTTATGCAAACACGCACAAAAAAAAAAAACACTACGAAAAAAATCGTGCTTCATATCACCACAGGCATAAGTGTGGGTTGTCCTAAAGAAATATTTCTGCCCACTTTGTCTTCGAATGTAAAGTTAACATGTTTGGACTTGAAGTGTGTGAATCATTTGCTGTGTGCTGAATTTTCAGTGTATTTATACTGCATGAATCACCATTCATCTTTATTGAGCAATTGTGTACTGAGTCACACAATTATTTCGGTAGAGATTTCATGGCTTATATTTCTTAGCACAAAGACTAAACAAATAGACACTCAATTGGCATAATTACTGTCAAGAACAATAAAATAAAGTGTATTTTTACATTCCTGTTGCAGAAAGACAGGTTAGTCAGGTTAGAAATACCTTCAGGAAAAAGTGGAATGTTTTTCCACTTTTCATAAAAGTAGAAAATTTGCCACTATGGCTGAGAGCTTGTCAGTTGTGAACTGGCTTTGACTGTGCTTTCCCAATTGCTGGCTCTCTTTTTGTCAAAATAATGGATTTATTTAGAGCTTATTGGATTCTACTTCAGTTCTGCTGCTGGTAGGTGGGATACTGTGGGTTGGGTTGCAACAAGTCTTGTATTCCAAAAACTATTTTTGGAACTTCATAGTTTCTGCCCTGAGAGGAAAATGGAAAAATGACTGTTGATATCTAGAGTCAACTTGATTAGTGTGTGTGCATTATTGTCAGTTTTATTAGCTACTTCACTACCAACCAACATAGAAAACCCCTGTTCTTTGAAGTTATTTGTCATGAACAGTAAAGGAAAAAGAGAGGATGTTCCCTGGGCTGTGTTTTGGAAGCATGTATTACATAGTAACATGTCATGTCTTTATGAGAGGGAGACATTTCATCAGTGCCAGATTATTTTAATAGAACTCACTGTTTAGGAAGATGGAATTTATAATAAGAGTACATCTAGTACATATAAGAGCAAGTAGTGATAGGACAAGGGGAATGGTTTAACCTTGTCTCTCTTGAGGGGAGATTGAGATGAGCTCTTAGGCAGAAGCTCTTCCCTGTGAGGGTGCTGAGGTGCTGGCACAGGGTGCCCAGAGAAGCTGTGGCTGCCCCATCCCTGGCAGTGTTCAAGGCCAGGTTGGACACAGGGGCTTGGATCAACCTTCCTGGGTTGGAACTGGATGAGCTATATAGGAAGCTGTTAAAATGGTTGATAAAGAACCCCAGAAATAGTTTGAGATGGATATTTGAGTACAACCTTGTCTTTGAACAACAAACCCAGATCATATGTTTTTTAGGAAATGGGATTGTTAATTTTTAAATACATACTAGATGTGACTTTTACCTTTGGACAAGCCACTCCAAGCACCCCTGAAGTCTTGTGTTACTTTTCATGGTCACCTGTGATTATGGACTCAAGGTAATCATAATACACAACGTCAAAGACCAGTGTGTGTGTTAACGATTGAACAGGTTTAAGTGTGAAAGAAACAAATGTAGAACATCCTAGCCTGCATGCAATGCCGGGTTGACAGTCGTCTCTATCTGATAGTCTCCAAGCTCAAGAAGGAGGTACTTTTTGTTTTGGCTGGCAGCAGAACGAGAAATACAGAGATCTTGGTAGAGCCAGGTTAACACTTGGATGTGATCTTAAGGGTCTTTTCCAACCTAAATGATGCTATGATCTCCAGAGAATAGCCCTAACCTGAAAGGCATTGACTGAGAGTCCTTTTACATCCTCTAAGTGTAGATGGCACTTAGACCTACATTTAATACACCTCTTCTGCAAAATAAAGGAATTGGGCCTTCAGAAACCAGTGTTCCAGGCTTTTTCAACAGCTGCATGCAGTCTTTTTCTAGGATCCAAATAAGGCAAATAATTGGTAGTGACAAACAAATAAGAACTGTCAAATAAGAACTGTTAGTGATCGTAATTGTGAAAGTGTTTTACAGTCCTGCTGGTTGTTAATAAAGCCCCGAGTGACTGTTATCATCAATTGTCTTTGACAGTTTGTAGAAAGCACAAAGAAAACACTGACATTTCAGGTGACCTATTGTGCTGGCTGTAGGAAAACCAGAGATGAAATATGTTAATTTTCAGTACTGTATTTACATATAAACATTCAACTACATTACTATATCCATACTGTTATCAAAAGAGCCACAGTCAAGTCTACTACAGAGGCCCTGATTCAGGAAAGATTCTTTGTTTGACTCAGAAGTAATCACATGGTTGCAATTAAAGAGGTGATGGGGAGTTTACTGAGGCCAATAGAAATATTTCCAGTAACTAATATATGAACTTGGTTCTAGGCGTTTTTCTTGCTTATAATGAACTTTTAACATACTTTGCTTTCCTAAATTGATGCTCTTGGTGTCCTCTGCACGCTGAAGTGACAGGCATGTTAGGAAAGCTTTTGATCTGCAGCTTTATTTCAGAGACATCTCTGACATGACAGGCTCAAGCTCATCTTCCTTATTTCGTATCCTGGGGAGCTGCATGGATGCAGCAATACATCAGCAAGGACGAGTTTCCAGCAGCTTGAAGAGATTGTATCGAGAGGAATTAATAAACATATGTCTAAGACAAAAACATTATTTATACGTTACAGAAAGCCATTTTTAGCTTCCTACAATAGACCTTCTTTTAATGCAGTATCTGTACTCATTGGCAGAGTGAAAAAATAATATTTATCTCTATTGGAGAAAAACATAGTATTTGATCCAATAATAATCTTTTTCATCTAGTTGCCAGAAGGACATAAGCTAATAATCCCCATGCAGCAGACCTTGGCTAAGTTTTGGTCTGTGATACTTTAGAAAGAGCTCCATAGCTCCATATCCATTGGTAGTATTTTTGGTTCATTAAGAGCAGGTTGACCCCAAAGTTTTAAGGCAGTATGTCTTGGAAAGTTAGTAAATAACTCATATCAAACACTAGAAAATGTGAGTGGCCTCCGGCTTCAGCTTTGTGTTTCAGCTGGAACAAATGATGAAATACCCACTTCTGCATGCCCAGAACGCTAAGACGAGTTCCATAGAAACAGATGGGTATTCCATCATACCAGCACACTGATGATGATGACAGTGATGAAAAAAAAACAGATATGAAACTAGACAATACACTGAAGGAGCAGAACTGACTGTATTTTTTAAACAAGTGCTGAGTTTAGATTTGCAAAAGAAATTGTTTTTCACATGTATAAACCCAACATGTGAGATGAGCAAACATACAGGAATAGCATCTTTTCAGTCTCTTTGCAACATGATTATAAATAGAAGTGAAGCCTTTTATGAGAGGAATTTTAATGATCTTCCCAGTGTGAATTGTGCTTCCGCTTAGATTTCCTAAATGTTGGCATGGGAATCAGACACATCCAATAATTGCATTTCTTTAAAATCATGGGCCCTGTGATCATCCAATATTGTTTCTAAATGAGCACTATGTGAGCAAAGAGTTTTGTTGTGCTACAGTATTTCTTCATTAATGTATGCTCCCTTGTTTATGAAAAGATTGTCTAATTAATAGTCCCTAGGGTTCCAATTTACAGTAAAGTCCTTATTTCATTAATGCCTTCCAATGAATAAAAATGGAGACAAATTCTCATCATTTACAGCTATTCACAATAACTTCTTATTATTAACACAGATATTTCTAGTCTTGTTTGTAAATTTTAACATTTACCTGAAAAGCCACAGTAAAGTTATGTGACAGTTTAGACTCCAGGTATCCTTACCTGGATGACATCTGTATTAGCTTGTTGGTTTAGGCAGAACTACCCTTAACCATGACCTCCCAAGTGCGCTTCAGTAGTGTCCTGGGTTCAGTAAGCACTAAGGCAATTTGATTCTATTTTGACTATGTCATGCAGTATCTGCAGAAAAAGTGAATAGAATAGATTTTGATGGGATGAATGCCTTCAGACAGGCTGTTGGCATTTCCATTATTACTTCTGGGTTTTTTTTCTGAAACATCATAAGCAAATTCTGAGGAATCTGTTATTTACTGAAGGAGTACATCCTTCTGTTTATGGAGTCATTCGGATTTTATCTGTTTCATTATTTTACCCATGTCAATGCTGCCTTAGTTAACAATTTTCCCACGTGAGATTTCATGTTGTAATAGAAGAAGGGTGGGCTTGGTTTCGACGTCAGTGGAGGTGGGTGTAATAAGAATTTACTGGGAAATACAGGTTTAAAATGATGTCCTTCTCTCTTCATTTGTTTTGAATTAAATCACTGCTGCTAGGGGAAAAGGAGAGAGAAACCTCCTTCACTGGGTAGTGTCTGTGGCAACCTGCAATCCTCATGCAACACCATGCCACTAAACGCTATGGGGCATCTCAAATCCCTTAACTGTATGCCCACAGAGAGCAAAGAAAGGAATGTTAAAACAGCTAATTATCCTCCTCTGCATAATGTTTTTGAAGTGTGATTTACTACTTCTTGATGGTAAAGTAGTATGTTTTCACTGGTTTTATTCCTACTGGACTTCCCTCTCACATCCTGAATTTTGTGAGAATATTACAAATACATCTGATAAGAAATAACTTGAGCATCACCTGTGCTGTGGTGTTTCAGCAGACAGGATTCAGCTTGCTCTGGCTGAAAAAGCATTATGGTGTGTTGTAGCAGAGCCATAAATTCATTAAATAAATATAAGGCTTTTGCAACTAAGAAAAAAATCAGAAAAGAAAATGAAGAGTTTTTTTTCCACAACCAATATGGAGTGAAACAATTAATGGCAGATCTATTTTGATTCGGTGTTGTCTAACTATATGTCTTTTTTTTTTTTGTTGGCAGTTGATGAAAACTGTGAATAAAATGTGCCCAAATATCACACGGATTTATAACATTGGAAAAAGCAACCAAGGACTGAAGCTGTATGCTGTCGAGATTTCTGACAACCCAGGAGAACACGAAGTTGGTTAGGATTTAGTCTAACTAAATCTGTTGAAGGGTGTTAGGATTTGGCTTTTTTTTTTCTCTCCTCATTCTCTGTATCTGCAGTAATTATCACTGATGGGATTATATTCATGGCAGCAAAGATTTCAAATGTGTGTGGGAGGAACTTCAGCGCTGTATTTCTAAATTGGGAAGAGGAGGGTGAGCACAAATAGAAAGCATTTTGAATGTGGGATCAAATTCTTTAATGATAATAAGATTTATTCTTTACAATAACAAAATAAAAGTGAGCTTTAGTACTGGAGAATGGATTTTAGTTGTGGGGGTTTATGCAGCTTTGGATAGAAATTTACCTTTTTTATATGGGGTAAATGCATTGCAAAAAAGGACAAGTCAAATCTCCCAAACCATCTTTCACTGGTCAGTGTTGGGGTACAATTTTCTACAGTGATATAATTCTTCAGAATAGGAACTCATTTGGTCTTTTGTCCTGCTGTCAAGAAAAATAAGGATCTCACTACAATTGAGCCTGAGGCATCTGGAATAAAGATGTCTTGTGCTTTGCCATGTCCATAAGTACCTGGATATGTGGTTGTCCTACGCGAGGAAGGAGCTGGTGTTAGACTGCAGCCTGTGAATCTCAGATGTTAACACCAGAATAAGTAATCTAGTTTGCCTTGTCCACTTCATTTGAGAGTCCTGCAGAAAACATGCAAGGAGTGTCTCATGGGTCCAGACAAACTGGGAGGGTGAATCCAGCCACAAGCCATAGCTTGGGCAGTTGTTGATGTTTGGGTGTGTTATTCATACAAAGGACAGCTAAAATATAGGGTTTTTATCTTAACAGCTGGTATTAGTCCTAATCACATCTGAATTATTTTGTAGTTGAGTGCAAGTATTGTTGCATTATTAGTGAAGGAAAAGGGATGTGTGAAGTTAGAGATCAATTATGTGCGGTTACTGGCTGTTATCTTTTAAGAGTCTTGACCTCTGTCCCAAAGAGCTACTGGCAGTGTAATATTCGTGCTATTTTTAGACTATCAAAACATTTAAAATCTACCTGTAAAATGGAGAAACTGTGAATGTAATTAAGAATGGAAAGTGGTCTTTGAAGTGTTTACAAATTGGCCGTAGGTATCACTGATATATAAGTCTTCTTCTAAAACAGCAACAAATAATCACTTGTTTCTGCAAAGTTATATGGTCATCTATCATTTCTTCAGTTAATACATTTCTCCAGTTCTCTATCACTGAAATGTTGCTGATTGACATCAATGAAGTCTGGTTAGATGCTTGATTTCCTGCTTTGTCTACACTTCTCCATGTGTTTTCAACAGGTGAACCAGAATTCCGGTACATTGCAGGAGCTCATGGGAATGAAGTGCTTGGACGTGAGCTAATCCTTTTGCTAATGCAGTTTATGTGCCAGGAGTACCTGGCTGGGAACCCACGCATTGTACATCTAATTGAGGATACCAGAATCCACCTCCTGCCCTCAGTCAATCCAGATGGATACGACAAGGCATATAAAGCGGTAATATGATTATTTGATGAATGAAATGTGCTCCTGTTGTCATTGTTTTCTTTTTCAAAGATCATATTTTAGAAGCAAACAAAATTAAGAAGTGATTAAATGCATCAAACATAAACCACTGAAACAGGAAAAAGAAAGCTGTGTGACATTGGGTAACAAGGTGTATATGGAAAGGATGGTCACAATGAATGCCAGGACAAACCATACTGAGGTGTATAGATCAATGGGAACACTGTTATGGAAAATGGAAAATTCATGCAGTCTGTTTCTCATGAGAAACCAAGCTAAGCACATGAAAATTTGCATTCCTCCACAGCTGAAACTTAATAGTGTGTTTAAGGAGAGCACAATGTGTTGGGCATCATAATAATTCAGTCTGGAAGAAGACAGGCACCAGGAGGAAAAGTTGCAGGGGCTGGTCGAATGCACTGGAAAATCTCCCAAGGCAGTCTGTAGAAGACTGGAATACAGAAGTCCCACTCACAACCATGGAAGGGAATATATGCTATCTCCATTGCCACCCAGTGGAAAATCAGTCTGAAATAAAAACCACAACATTTAGGCTAACCCCAAGTAATTTGTCATGGGTTTTGTTTCACTTTATACAAGATTTCATACAAAATCAAAATAAGTCAATTACTTATTTCAGTTAACTAATTAATCCTTCCATTTCTCTGTATAGGATTTTCTCTGAAACATCCCCAAACACTTGGCTGAGAGCTCACATGTTTTTGTATTCTTAAATGAATTTTTACATTGTTTTCCCCTTGTTCCTTTCTTTTATCTAAGGGTTCAGAATTAGGGGGCTGGTCTTTAGGACGATGGACTCAGGACGGCATTGATATCAACAATAATTTCCCTGATTTAAACTCTTTGCTCTGGGAGTCAGAGGATCAGAAGAAGAGTAAAAGAAAAGTTCCAAACCATCACATCCCTATCCCTGACTGGTACCTGTCTGAAAATGCCACCGTGAGTAAGGCCAGAGAGAGGGAGCACAAAGGCTGGGGCATGTTGAAAGATTGAGCTTTATGTTTCTCAGTAAATCGATAACTTTCAGGTGAAGCTACATACATGATCTAAAGTACTTGCCTAGGCTTCCTCATTAGTCAATGGAAACAAAAGTGCACCATGAAAGTATTATTCACCTCCATATTTTACAGGCAGTTAGAATGGGAAAGAAACTGCTTCCTGGAGGATTTTCTTTTCCCCCTGGTGTTGTGAGAACCTGGACGACTCAAGGCTGTGAACCAGGCTTCTCCTTAGGTTTGCAGCATAGTTGAGCTCTTTGCAAACTCAGTAGCCATAAAGAAGTCTCTTGGGGGTTTCTTATTTGTTCTTATTTGAAATGTATTCTTGTCTGAAATAACACAGTAACTGCTGAGGCATACACAAAACCAATGCAGTGGCTTAGGCTAAAGTCATTTATTGAATTGTAATGCTAAAAATTTAACTCATTTTTGCATGGCCTTTTAAACATAATGGCAACTATTTATAGTGGCTGAAATTCCCCGAGCTTGAGGGGAGCTATTGCGGTTCTGTGGGCTTTAGAAATATTTCTGGTTTAAAAATCCCTTACTTTGAAAACTGATTTCAGCTGAGAGCAGGGTGGAGAAGTGCCAGGATCTGATCACTGTTGGTTGCTGCTCTTGACCTTACTCTACATAAGTGTTCCTGCTGCATAAATTACCAATATTAAGGCTTTGATAGCTTTTATATCAGAGATTTCCAAGGCATGGCTGGCATGCACCATAATTTTAGGAAGCCTTTCTCCTTGGACACGTCTCTTGTACTGACTGCTCACTCTAAGCTAAGGAACTCAGCAGGTCTCCTGCATCTGGTTACCTTTGATAGGAGATTATCCAATATCAGAGCTTGAATCAAAGCTGCTGTTTCTTTTCCTCCCAGGTGGCAGTGGAGACAAGGGCAATAATAGCATGGATGGAAAAAATTCCTTTTGTGCTGGGTGGCAATTTGCAGGGAGGGGAGCTTGTGGTGGCATACCCCTATGACATGGTGAGATCCATGTGGAAAACCCAGGATTACACACCTACCCCAGATGACCATGTCTTTCGTTGGCTTGCATATTCCTATGCTTCCACACATCGGCTGATGACAGATGCGAGGAGGAGAGCGTGTCACACAGAGGATTTCCAAAAGGAAGATGGCACTGTTAATGGAGCATCCTGGCATACCGTGGCTGGAAGTAAGCGCCTATAGAAACAGCAATTAGCATTACCTTGCTAAATAGGATAATGCCATCACTGCCTGGTGTATGTTGCAGAGGCAATGGTGGTAAAATGTGTCCTAAGAGGAATATTGCCCTATCTGAAAGTCTGTTTACTTTATTTCATCAAGTACCAGTATTGAAGGAAACTGTGTCACTGATACCTGGCAACCAATTTCATTTACAGCTGAGGTTTCCAAATGAGCACGTGCAATACATTAGTTTTACAGATTTTGTACATTCAAGGGGGTTTGCTAGGAGAAAACCAACCCACCCCAAACCCACCAGTGGGGGAAACCTGTCAGTGTTTGCCATCTTGGGAGATGCCAACAGAAAACTGCTGCTGGACACGAAAGGTGTAACCAGTGTCAGAGCAATAGCATTGACTCCACTGAGACATTCCAGTGGTCCTCAGATGAGAAAATGATGATTTCAGCCTCCTGCTTGCTGAACTCAGCCACAGATTCAACCCGAATTGTAAAAACATGCCACAAAAAGCTGCTTTCCAATTTTTACACAATGTGGACGCCCTTACACTTAAACTTTGCATGGGCTCCATTGCTTCTGGCATTGCTTCTGCCAGAATAAAGTACAGGCTGAATTATTCACCATATGCCCAAGCCTGTCACCCTGTTAAGGAGCATGAAGGAAGAGCTGTCTCCTGCACTGCAGACAGAGCATCAGTTTTTAGGAAAGCCCAATTAGAAGCACATTTTTAGCAGCATAGGTAGGCATAGTTATCTGTATGGGTGAACACTTCAAGCAGCCTCAAAATCAGGCACTTTGTTGATTCATCACAGTCCTGCTCAAAACCTTTGTTTTATATAAACCAATCAGTTAGACAACATATTCTATGAAATTAAGAAATGATGTGCATCTCCCATCACTTGAACGAGAATAACTGCAGCAGTAATGGCAAACAGATGCAAGTATGCGTCTGTGCAGACCAGGTTTTATTGGAACTGGCTCGTGTTTGTAACTTGCAGGTAATTTCACTGCATAAACATCTCTAAATTTTGGATATGGCTTTTATGGCTCTTATGTTGGCCCCTGTAAAGTTAGTCCTGGCCAGTCTTTAAAGACTAGAGCCAGGAATTAACTTCCCAAATATTTCTTCAGGAGGTTAAAACATGTTGGGTGAATTTGCGGGGAAAGATTGGACTCTTAGATCACAATGCCAATGCCTGACAATGCATTTCTACAGCTTCCTGCTAATTCCCAAAATACCCTCTCTGCATGCTAGCTTGACTGCTCAATTATCTCATTTATAAGTTTAATTTCCCCGTTATAAGAAACATGATTGTGAATTGATCCAGAAAAGATGACATTGGCCATGTCACTAACAGCTGCCAGACTGTTTCAATAAGTAATGATGTACAATATAGATGCTCAGTAGTATCTTGATTTCTTACTAACAATTGTATATTGGATTATGTTCATCTGATTTGTTATATTGATTTATGACGTTTCTCAATATACTTTACATCCTGCTCTCTTATGTTACTGTAAGACTTCCAAGATTGTCTGTGAGAAAAATGCTGGAATGTTGCTTTTACTTTCAGTTCTTTACACCTTGGATTCCAGACTTAAACCTCAAAAGATGTGGTTTCCATTTGAACTCAGCCTCCAACCTGCAAGATAGTTTTAGACTTCTTGTCTACTTAGACAAATGTAGGAGAGTGATTTGTATTGCAGGTATATACATATATATGCATACATATATATATGTCTATATATATGTAGTGTACTGATAGGATAAGGGGTAACAGGTTAAAACTTAAACAAGGGACGTTTAGATTGGATATAAGGAAGAAATTCTTTACTGTAAGGGTGTTGAGGCACTGGAATGGGTTGCCCAAATAGGATTCCAGATTTGAAGACAAATTTAAGCTATATTTTTTTCACTGTAATTCCATGACTATACAGATGTAGTTTTATTGCTCCACTTCTACTATTTCTTTACCTTTCAGATCAACGTGTAGCACTTTCTTCTGCTAAGCTTCTGCTTGCTTAATGTCTGAGCCAAAGGTGGCACACCACTATGCCGCTTGTAGAATGCCCTTTGGTTGGGTGGCACCTTCTTGCTGTGCCACAGCTTGAAGCCACCCATCTTCTCCTCATCCACCTGCTACCTGGCCTTGCAGTGATCATGCACATAAACTTTTCACTGCTGATGACATGGGAAAACTTATAAGGGATTTTTCTAATTCCTTTTCAGCACCAGACAGTCCCTAAAGAAGTCTTTGCACCACAGATATCTTGCACGAACACCTCTGTGTTACTTTGAAACCCAGCCATGCTATTTCCTGCACGTATTTTGAACAGCAATCAATGCGAGTTCTTTAGCAATTTTACATTAACGTTTCTGCTTGGGTGAACTGCACAAAGACAAAGAACAGATGAAATTCATTTTATTTCCAGTGTTTTCAAGGCTGTATTTGCGTGTTCAGACACTTCACAGAGTTACTCTTGGCAATGTAAAGCCGTTTTCTTAAATACATGTATTTAAACTGAGCAATTACTGTGTACTGCAAAACATTTCACAACAGATTAATCAGGATGTGATACATTATGTGAGGGGAAAATAATCATATCTGTTTCTCAAACAGAGAGGAAGCATGTTTATGCAGAGTAGCATATGCCACTGTCTGATATTTAGGCTTTCCTCATCCACAAAACTGAACAACTTAACATCTGCATTATACAATCCTCTTGCTCCTTATCCAGAAGGCACTGAGGGCTCGTTAAATACCTGACTACTGCACTATGGTAACTGGATAGGACTAGGGGGTTTTTAACTCTTTTCAATCAGAACCACTTGGTGAATGCATTTGCTGCTAATCTTTGACATTTAAAATACGTTTCATGATCATAAGTAAACATGTTTTAAAATATATTTTTATTAGAAATGCAGGTGGAATAGGAAATGAATCTCACATCATTTATTCCTCTGGTGTTCATGTACTTACATTATCTGTGTGATTGTGGAGAACTAATAAATGGAATTTCCCAAGGGAAAAAAAATTGTGAGAAATGGGAGAGAAACCTGAGAATGAAAATGTTTGAGATCTGTGTCTAAAGGCAGAGTACCTTAAGTGCCCAGGACCTTTGCAAAGGTCACAGTGCTTTCTGTAACGTAGACTTAAACTGCAGCTCCTCAGAGGTCAGAGGCATTGCGATTCCTGGGTTTTGATTAGGACATACTTCTCATGGAAATCCCTGTTGCAGCACAATAGTGCAACTCCAGTCCTCTACAAAGCCGTAATATGGTGTGCTGGTTTTGGCTGGGCTGCTGTGAAGTTTCTTCACAGTAGCTGGTATGAGGCTATGGTTTGGAATTGTGCTCTAAAAAGTGTTGATCACAAGGAGTTATTGCTGAGCAGTGCTTGCAGAGAGTCAAGGACTTCTCTGTTCTTCACCCCACCAGTGAGGAGGCTGGGTGCGCTCAAGAGTTGGGGGATACAGTCAGGACAGCTGACTCCAACTGACCTAAGGGATATCTCACACCATATAGGATATGCATAGCTCAGCACATAAAGCTGGGGGAAGAAAGAGGAAGGGAGGGGGATATTCAGAGCGATGGCATTTGTACTCACAAGTTCATCAATAGAATCACTGAATGGTTTGTGTTGGTGGAAGGGACCCTAAAGCTCATCCAGTTTCAACCCCCTACCACAGGCAGGGACACCTTCAACTAGAACAGATTGCTCCAAGCCCCCGTGTCCAACCTGGCCTTGAACTCTGCCATGGATGGGGCAGCCAGAGCTTCTCTGGGCAGTCTATTCCAATATCTTATCACCATCATAGTGAAGAATATCATAGAAACTTTATCTGGAATGACTTTAATTTGTTTGTTCATTTGTTTTCTGCTAAATTTCTATTTCCTTTAAGTTTTGAGATGGCAGAAGGACGCCATTCTTTGTGGCAAAGGAATTGGGGATGTGGTGCTGGGGTGACACAGTGCCCTATGTTGTCATGGTGTAATATATTCTGTTTTGAGTGTATTGATGGGATACTGTCTTTAGAAAGTCTTCTTTTTTTTCACATATATAGCTCTGATGTTATTCTGATGCTTTGATACAGGAGATGTAGCATTTCTAAAAATCTTTTGCCCTGACATCATCTATGCAGTCTAAGTCAGCTATGTTTGTGTTTAAATAAGTTAGATTACTTTGCATAAAGAAATCAGGTCTGATCAATAGGTTAAAAGAAGATATAAAATAATTTGGTTTATACCCCCCACTGACAGGCATAAATGACTTCAGTTATCTGCACACAAACTGCTTTGAGCTGTCCATCTACGTTGGCTGTGACAAGTATCCCCATGAGAGCGAGCTGCCTGAAGAATGGGAAAACAATCGCGAGTCCCTGATTGTTTTTATGGAACAGGTATTTGACAGACGAGTAACTTCTGAGTAATTTGATGACTCCTTTCAGAACGAAAGGGAGTTTGAGGTTTCTGATATTTTTCTTACACAGCTAATTGCATGATTATTGATGTTTGTGTTGGAAACCTTACCCACAAGCAGTGTTAGTGTATCACTTCAGCCAGGCTGTTTTGACCTAGGAGAATAAGGCAATGAAGCTTGTTAAAACTTGATGTGAGTGAAAAGCTTGTTACAAAGGAGTTCTAGAAAAACCTTATGTCTGCTGCTTTATCTGCTTGTTTTATCTACCTCTTGAATTTGATATCTTGGGAATCCTACCAGAATTTGTAAGCTGATTCACAAGTGGCTAATGCCTGAAAGGGTTATATTCTGGGTTAGTAATGATACTTCAAAATTGTGTAAACCATAATATATGTAATTGACATATGGAATTATATGTCCCAACTCTTTTTAACAATAGTAGTGATTGTTGCTGTGCAATATTTCTTGTCTGTTCTTTCACTAGGTTCATCGGGGCATCAAAGGCATAGTAAAAGATGCGCATGGAAAGGGAATCCCAAATGCTGTTATTTCAGTAGAAGGTGTTAACCATGACATTCGCACAGGTAAAAAAAAACCTCAAAACATCAGTGCAAATGAACAGATTTATGGTTTTTAAACAAAATGCAGAACCTCATTGAACTTTGAACTCTTTTCTGAGAAAAGCCAGCAGATAATATTTGGTCCAAGGAGAACGTTGCAGAAGGAGTGGCAATAGGACAGAGTTTGCGTAAGGGCAGAGTCACTTCTTCCCATGAAGCAGCTGCATAAACAAGAACCAAACTATGGCTTTCTTCTCTAGCCCTCTTCCTCTTTCCACCTCTTAAAGTATTGAGAAAATAGCCTTTTATCTGCCAAAAATCAATAGCCTGAGAAAGGCTGAGTCCATATCACTCTTATTGCTCCTTTTCTCATGTAAAGGTAGTGCAAATCAGAGTAATTATAGCCCTGAAAACCAGGAGTGTATATAAGGCCTTGCTGAGTGAAAAGCATTCCTCTAGCTGTTAGCAGTTATAGGACTCTGAATGTATTGGAGATGTGATTTAGAGCTGTGTCCAGAGGAGAAAGAGCTATTGCAGGGAAAGAGGAGTTTCACAACCTAAAGTACCCTGTAAAACATCACAGCTGTATAAAAGGTCATTTAATGGGGCTCAGCAGAAACACTGCTTTGCACAGGTGAATTTCAGCCCAAAATGTGCATAGTTAAAAAAAATGCTATTTGTCATGCTAGCACAGTTTTGATCTACACCCAGACACAGGTATGTATACTCAGAGCAAACTCTAAGCCTATTTAATAGCTTGGAAAGTAGATATGGCACTAAATAGAGAACTGCTTTAAATAGACACTAGCCAATTACAAGATTAATAGTAATACCTGAAAATTGCTGTTGAGAGGCGGTGGCTGGGACAGAGCCCAGTACTCATTTTGTCTGCGTACTGTGATTTAATACACACAGTCATCAGAGATGCAGCAAAGAAGGAAGAATGAAGAAAAATAGTGAAAGATGTCAGCAGGAGTCTTTAGTGATGGCACTCAAAGTGCTGGTTGCAAAAGGTTAACAACTTTCTGTGGACTTTTATGGAAGGATCACATCATGGTAACTAATCAGAGAAATCTTGTTGGATAGTCCAGGTTTAACTCAGTATTAGAAAGAGGAACACTAGTTTTATATCATTTATATATCTGACTGGCATTCTGGGCCTTTCATTTGCTGCCACTTCCATGTGTTTTGCCACTGAAGTACAGTACATAACGCTTTGACAGGTAAATTATTGATTTCAGGTTATGGACTATCACAGAGCTTTAGATAAGAGACTTCCAAATCTTTAATGTTTGCTACATTAAATTATCTGAGCCAATAATAAAACTTGGAATATCTAACTTAGTTTATGATTAACTTTATCTCAGTGCTACTCTGTTGTAAGAGAAAACACTGAATGACAGATAGTTAATTAGGCAATTATGATTCTGCCTTAAACATTTCCAAATGGGACCACTGGGAAATATTAGCAGGAATTAAAGTAATCAGTTGTTTTTCCTCATTGTGAAAGTCTTGGCAGTCTTGAAAGATTGCCATAAATTGTAGTTTGTATTACCCTGTTAACAAAATTAATATATGCCTCTGGTTGAGGCTGAGTAAATGCAAGAGGGGATTAACCTCCAGCTTTCAGTACGTTGGATTGCCACATGGAAGAAAAACCAACAGTTTCAAGACAGCAAACATGCATACAGAAAGGAGACCCAATGACATGTGTAATAAATGTGCAAGATCCCCAAATCCACCTCATAACACTGGCAAAATCTTGCAGCTATTTACATCTAGACTTAGAGCTGAGCTCCTATGGCTCAAAGCCATCTGTGCTTGTTAGTAAAAATAGAAGTACTTATTCTTTTTAATTTTTCTTTTTAATGAGACATTTAAGCTGACACTGTTTGCAAATCACTTTGTAGATGGGAACATAAAAGGTCTATTTTGTTTTATATTACACAGATAACAATGTATGTCTCATTAGTCTTCGAAACTTCTATGTCTCATTAGTCTTTGAAACTAGAGAATTTATGTTGGAGGCAAAAAGCTAAAATGGCATGTATAACTCCAGTGAAAGAAGGCGAATTGTCAGCGGTCTGCTTTCATTTATACCTTTTAAATTGAAAAATGTATCCATTTGAACCTCTGTGTTGCCTTGATGTAAAAATAGGCCAAGCAGGAGAAAAATTATGGCTGCTATTTCTATTCATGTAAGGTTTTTTTAAAGTGAGCTAAGCTGCTATCTACTGTTTCTTTGATACATTAACATGGTCGACTACCCTGTAGAGCCAGACAAGAGTTATCTATAAAGGTCCTCTAAGAACATTTACTTGTTTGAGAAAATTTCTCTGCTTCATCCCATGGACAAAAACTTCATGGAAAGCACTCTTTATTTGTACTTTCTCTTGGATGTATGATACATTATATGGGAAGAGAGGGTTGCTGACACTAAGCTGACAGTATTAATAGCCTAAGTGATTTTGATTCTGAAGTAAGAGCTTTGTGGAAAATTATTGCATTTTCTGTTGATGCAGATGTAACTATTGATTAAGTTTGGGTGATTACATTTTGTTGCAATTAGATGTGAACTGTGCTTTGTAAGATAACCTTTGAAAAAGAATTCATCAGTCAGATGAACAAATGCACCTGAACACCCCTTTCCTCACGGTGCAAAGGCAGTTTTGTGTGCTGCTTCCTGTAATTGCATTTTGGGAATCTCACAGCATATCTTGATGAAGAAATATAAAATTTCTTTCTAGTGAGCAGAGTTCAAATACAGATGCACATTTCTGTGTGATCTTTTTTTTTGCATACTTACATAATACATATAGTTTTATTATATATATTCTTAAAATATATTTTTTCCACAATTTATAATAATAAAGCATATTTAATACAATTTCACATAGTGTGCAGATAAATTTTTATCAATATTTTGATGTTTCGTATTATTTCATAGAATCATAGAATAGTTAGGGTTGGAAAGGACCTTAAGATCATCTAGTTCCAACCCCCGTGCCATGGGGACACCTCACACTAAACCATGTTACCCAAGGCCTTGTCCAACCTGGTCTTGAACACTGCCATGAACACAGGGATGGAGCATTCACAACCTCCCTGGACAACCTATTCCAGTGCCTCACCCACCCTAACAGGAAAGAATTTCCTCCTTATACCCAATCTAAACTTCCCCTGTTTATATTATCTAACAAAACCCAAAGATTTTGAATAAGTGTTTAGTAACATTTAATAACATTACCCTAAGATAAGCATAATTCTCATAACTCCATCCTCATTCATGGCTGCCTGTTCAGTAGAGAAAAGTTAAGGCTTAGATGTTACATGCATTGGGTGTGCAGTACTATGGCTAGGTTTCTTGGAGAGTCTTTTGCAGGTAACAGAGCATTAGGATAGATTTTTATAAGGTATTTACATTAGTGAAATTGGGTACATCTAAGTGTACACATGACAACTGTAACAAAGGTCTGTCCTTCCACACTCGGAGTGTTCCTCTTAATTGACAGGTTTATGGACTCACCTGGCATATTTGAGTTATAATAATATTATAATAATATTTTTATGCATTTTTATTTTATCCAAGCAGACATGGCAATTCTTTTCCTGACCCAATAGATGGAGATAGATGTAGTCTACCTCCAACCTGCTCCCACTGGAGCCTATTCTTTTAGCAAACCTATTATTTACTACATTTATCTGTATTTTTAATTGTTTTTCTCTTGCCATCTGCTCTGAAATTTTTTATTTACTGCATTTAATCTGATTTAAAAAAAAAGACCTTTAAGCCTGGTATTAAATTCTGGGCAATGACAGCTGTCAGAAATGCTAATGGCTGCTTACTTGTAAATGGAAAGGAGGTAAAAGGCATCCTGCTAACAGCTTAATATTCAGCTTTGTAGTCATTTATCAGCGGTATGTGAACGTGTTGCTTTTTTTCTGGCCTTGTGTGGGGCTGTGGTGAAGCGCTTGTTAAATGTGTCAGAAAATGTGGGTCAGTTTTGAACACCAGGGGCTAAAGCCGGCCTCTGAGCACGGATGCATTCACGGCCACACACTGGGTGATCCGTAGCCTTTTGCCAGCCCTGTAGTATCGCCAGAGCATTTACAGCTACAGATGAGTCCTTTGGGATAAATTCAATAAACCTGGACAGCTTCATGTTTTGTCCTTTGGTTAAGGTGCCAGTGGACCCAATAGTTAAGAGAGAGCTGAATAGAAAGCTTTTTAGAGAGCTCCTCTTAAAAATGCTTGAGCCCTGAGAAGTAGAAAATCTGGATCTTCATCATCACCCCAAGTGGGGTCAAACGGGCTGAAAGAAAAACCTAAGCAAGCTGCTATGCTTATGTTCAGAGACTGCAATATCAGGATATAGTTGGTAATGCTCTTTTAATAACACTTGCAGGTTGCAAACGTGGTTTTTATTTTACCAACCCTTCACTTAAAATCCATTTTTTTTTTTGCATAGAGGTTAGTCTGCTCTTTTCCTAAATATAATATTTTTATGTAAACCATAGTTAGGTTTTTGCAACACACTGCATTGCAAGAAACCCAAAGCTGCCGGTTCGCATTAGTACTAAAGTATCTCCTCATCATCAAGAGATGGTGCATTTTTGTTTATATATAGAATTGCACATTTGAATATGCACTTTCTTTCACAGTTGGTTTTCCCAGGAAAGAGTACAAAACTGACTTTAGATATTAGTGTTTCACCTTTTTCAGTCCACAGCTAATCATATTTGTTATTTAAAATAATACTTAGAAAGAGGTCTAAAGCCATTCTTATGTATGTATGGGTAATCTGAGACCATTTATAAGGAAGAAAGGAGTAATCAAAGTCCTGATTCAATGACGTGTTAAGATATATCTTGCTTTGTCCATGACTACTTTAGTTGATTAGGGTTATTGCTGTTCATGTGCTTACAGGTAAGCAAGTGGTTAAGTACCTTGATGAATTATGCTCTGTAGGAAAATCAGTGTAGTAAAACTCAGTGTAAGATTTTATAGAGGAGGATGCTCAGATCTCTGAGTTGATATTATGCATTCATATGCTTTGCATACTAAATAGTATCAAAACATGTGTGTCAAGGCAGTCTGGCCAGGTTCATGAGAGTGATATGGGTACCTCACTGATTCCTTCAGCAGAATTAGTGTGGAAAAGATCTTTTATACCCCCTTGGGAATCACCAGCAAGGTGACCCTTTGCCTCAAGATGGTTTTGACTTCATCTGACAAAAGTCTTAAGAAAAATCAAAGTCCATTGTCATTTTTCATCATTTGGAAAACTTTTGAGGTGGGTTTTCCTGTAGAGTTGGCAGGACGAAGAACGCTATGTGTGATGGGGGACAGCATCACTGACACCCTCCTGGTGAGAGGATGCAGGCTTGCTGCTTGTGGTGTCGTCAATACGCAGGTATTTCTGTATTCCCATAAACAGCACCTTCCTCAATGCTGTCCTGAAAGCCATCTCTTTTCCTACCAGGAGCCGATGGGGACTACTGGCGCCTTCTCAACCCAGGGGAATACGTGGTGGCCGTGAAGGCAGAGGGCTACACCACCGCCACCAAGACCTGCGAAGTCGGCTACGACATGGGAGCTACCCAGTGCGATTTCACCATCTCCAAAACCAACCTGGCAAGAATCAAGGAGATCATGAAGAAGTTTGGGAAGCAGCCGGTCAGCCTGTCCATCCGGCGGCTCAGGCAAAGGGCTCGGCAGTGGCGGCAGCAGCGATAGACCTCAGCCCAGGCAGAACCACAGCATCCATGAGCTCTGCTTCTATCAGCCTGGCTCTAGTCGTAGTGAGAGTTACATAGCTCCTCTTTCATACATATTTCTCTGCACGAGGCTTTTCTGTTAGTGGAGCTGGATGAATAATGGGGGGGTTCAGTTGGAAAAAAATAAGAAACAAAATTCAAGTTGAACCAAAATAAGCCCCGGGCTGGGGAGAGAGGCAGGATGAATGTAGAAAGATGTTTTGAGTTAACCTGGAATGATTTTTTTTTTGCTTATTGGGTTATTTAATCCTTTGTAAATCTGTTTTCTTTAAAATAGAAAAGAGAGACTTATAAAGAAGTGTTGTTTTGAATGAAAAACTGTAAAACGTTGTTTCTAAAGTATAAAATTGGTATATTTTTGCCTTTCAGAAAGGATTTTACACTCTTTACGTTTTGTTCTCATGTGAGAGAAAAGGAGACAACTTCTGTTGAATATCATTAAAATTTGTGTCAAAATTTCAATTCCCTTTTCCCTGAATTTCCACCTTTTGGCAAGCACCATAATACTTGGGAGAAAAAACCTGATGCAAATAACCCAGCTTAGCTTTCCTGCTTGGGTTTTTTATATTTAAGGATGTTTTGTGGTTCCAGAGTTTAAGGCCACAAATGTTTTTTTCTTCTCTGGATTTTAAGGCTGAGTTTTTACTCAATTAAAAGTAAAAATAAAAAGGGCATGGGATGAGGACCACTTCAGCAATGTGGCATGGCACCCCTTCTCTAACCTGGGAAAGGGACTTGAAACAAAGCCTTTCTTGTCAATACAGCTGGTCATATAGTGTATGAGAGGACAGGCTTGGTCATGGATATGTGCAGAGTTCAAAAATCCACTGATATATTTTGCCTTGATTTTTGGCCTGCCTCAGTTCTTCTGTGCTCATGCACACTTTGTGCCACTGACTTCCCTGAGATGGAGAGGATTTTCTATTCCCCTGCGTGCTCTGCTCATCTTGCCACTCCAGCTGCTGCTGCTTTTCTGGCCTTACAACTCTATGGGAGCAGGATTTGGGCTTTATTATTGGCTTTTGAGTAACAAAATTATTCAGCAGGATAGAATCAAGGTTCAGGAAATATGCAGTTCAGATCTGGGAAAGACCTAAATAAACACAAAGTATCAGCTGGTGAAAATCAATTTTGTTCCATTAACTTCAAAGTTATGACCTTTATTATACCAAATGAAAGGCCAGATGCACGATTTTAGCCAGTCAAAATTCTAGGGCTAAGTAAACATCTCTTCATATGCTTGGTAGAAAGACTGTGGCATACATTTCCAAATAAAATTGTTTAAAGCATTTTAATTGCTATTATAGTTGCCTATTTGATCTGATTCTTGGAAAACACATTCAAAGTGTCATTAAAAACAGAGAAAATACAATGCAAGTAAAAAGCTTACTGTAAAAATACCATGTGCCATCTCTATTAAATCTTTTTTTTCTCGTCAATGGATCTTGTAAACACATAAAAGGAAAAAGATTACAGAATGAATAATATAATCATAGATAGTTTTGCTCTTAAATTTCTTAGACAATTCCAGCCCATGTTTTTTCTGCAGATGCTCTTAAGAGCAATGTATTTGGCAGCAAGGGCTCAAATAAAATAAAGAGTGCAGATGTAATTTTCTATAACTGAAATTATGGGATTCCAGCTCCCAGTCAGCATCATTTAAATTAAGTAATAGAGGTAAGCAAATAATCCAGTCATTACGTTAACATCTGGAATTATATTTTACTTATTTCATTTTATTTACCACCCTTACAGCATTCTATACACCATATGTCATTGTATAGGAAATATAACAGCAACTTGTTGAGAAGGGGCTTTTTTTTGGCAGCTGGGAAGGATTAATGATGTCATTGTGCAGATAGTGATGGGAAATGATTTTGGAATAAGGAGTAACGACAGTAGACAATTTGTTAGCATTTGGCTTGTTCATTGGCATATGTGGATTTTATTATCACCACAATAGATCAGGGTCATACATGATTTTTTGTATTATAGGCTGAGTTTCTGAGGTGGCTTCTTCTTCCCTCCCATGGCTACTCAGTCAATGGGGTGATTGGCATGCACAGGCAAACAAGGAACTAACTAGACAAATTTAAATCACTCTGATAATCAGATTGAGGGTACAAACCGCTATCTTATTCCTGACAGGCGAGTTCTTTCTACCTTGTTCCAGACTGGTTTGAGATTTAATTTACAAACCTAGAGGTCCCTATGCTTTGTTCTCAGGTATGAGGTTGTCTCCATGAGAAGTTAGTTTGGTTTATTTGATAGCAACAAGTGGATTTGATGGGAAATTCTTTGATGTCTATTGGCTAAATTAGATGAACTCTGGTTGAAGACCTCAGTAACATCAGATGCTGAAGGCTCGGTGCTCTTTACTGGCCACGGCTAGTGCTTACACATACTTTGGCACAGCAGAACTATGACTCATGCAGGTGACCTTACTCCATTTTAGCCCAGGCATTGCTAAATAAATGGCCTAATAGTTGCCAAGAGTACTTGTCTCTGCAATTATTTTTTGACAGTCCAGCACCTTTACACTGGGAAACACTCAAGTTCAAAGGAATTTTACTGGCAACTTCAGGTATATCAATGTTTTATATTGAGATAAGATGCGTATGCCTGCCCTGAGTATAACAATACTGAACAAATGTGTGCCTTATTTAGTGCTCTGGTTATGCACTTGGGAGTTAAAATGTTTAATTTCTTTGCAATACCTAGTACAGCTATTTAACCTTTAAATAGATCCCAACCACAATATATTAAATCTGGTACCAATGTTTTCTATTTATTTACCTTTTTCATGTTTTTTGAATAGTTTTTTTTTATTAATTTTGTGCTTTTAATCTCTTCTCCTTTCAGTGTTGTAGGAAAATGAGCAACCCTGCAGAAACAGCAGGAGATAAGATTTGAAGATGGATATGATCTTTTTATAATTACAGACCCATTTTAATAGCTGCTTACATGAAGAATTTGCTGAATTTTGACCATCCCTGATAGGAAAGAATAAAAAAACACAATCTCTTCCAGTAATAAGAAATTCAGCTGCACAATCTCACCTACACCTTAAAGGTTAAACAAATAAAAGGTTAAAACAGGACACATTCTACTCTTCTTGATAATACCAACCATCAGTCATCTGCTCCCATGCAGAGCCCTGACAATCATAAAATACAGTGGGAGTTGCTGGCTTCTCCTTGACTACCCATGCCATGCTATCCAGTTATTAATTTTTTATCTGTTTAATTATGATAATTTTCACCACCCTGTATCTCAGTTTTTCTCATTCATTTTAGTAGTTACAAGAACATAACCTCTCAGAGACAGATCTCGGTGTTTGCATATCAGCTTGGGAATGTTGAAGCCAATAAAACTGTATCTACTAAAACTATTTCCATTTACACATGTTGGTGTAAGTGTAGAGAATCTTGGTAATCTCTAACCCAAATTTAATCTATTGGCAGTAGAAGACTGTTAAAGGTATCTGAGTATTGCTTTTACCAGGATTTTGACCTCTGTGGGTAAAACACACTGATAAAATTGAATGTAAATGAAGTTGTTGACTATGCTGGTGAAGAAATTAAATAGATATTTTAAGCCTCTCACATACTTTCATTTTCTGTCACCATCTACTTTCTTTTCTTTTACTCGTGTATAATTGTGTTTTTTTCCTCTGTCTTCAGCTCATTATTTTCAATGAATCTGGGACACCTTCCAAAGTGTGGACTTCGGCAGTTAGTGACAAAGTTTTATAGTCAGATTCACTCTTTTATCATGGTGTGGTAGGTGGCTGACCTTTGCGAAAAGCACCAGAACAGAGATGCGTTAGCTTGAAATAGAGTAAAAGTGGCATCCCCGAGAGTGGTCAAGGCCAGATTTGATGGGCTTTGGCGACCTGGTCTAGTGGAAGGTGTCCCTGTCCATGGTAGAATGTTGGAACTGGATGAGCTTTACTGCCTCTTCCAACCCAAACCATTCTATGATTCTATGATTAACCTTTAAAAATTGGCATGTGATGTGTTTTTTATTGGTCTGAAAATGCATGAGTTTGGAGGCAGAGTGCCTCTTTACCATTTATTTTTTCGATCATTTTCTGTATTAATTTAGTCAGGTTGTAACCACAAGCCTCAGGGATGAAGTGTAAACTCACATACAAGTTGTACAAATTGTGGTAGCATCACCTCCTGTTGCAATACACTGCTACAGCATTACAGAAACACCGTGGGAGAAAGAGCTCTGTGCCCACCTACTAACTATCCAGCAGGAACCCAAAGAAGCCCTATTTCATATTCATTAAGAGTATACAATTTTTCAAATGTCATTTTCCTTTCTTACTGGAGCGGTTGCATATATTGAGAGAGGGACAGTGATTTTTGCAGTTGATTTTATGGGTAATTTTAGTATCACTTTTGCCTGTGCTTCTTTGTGCTATCATAGTGGCAAGCAATTTTTTCAGTCCTTTCCAGCCCTTAATGAGCAGCTATTAATGCTGTGTGGCTTCAGGTGTTTAATATAGTAGTTTTAGGTCTTTATTCTGGTATTTCCTTAATTTTCCAAATTTAACTGGCATTTATACCTTTAGTCTATTGTGCTTGTTTTAATTTCTTTTTGAAGGTCATTTAGCTTGAGATTACTTTTGTATTTCATGGTAACGCTCTAATATGATTCTTTAGCAGCAAAATTTATGTTCAATGAAGCCATCCCGGTGAATGCAGTTTTGTGCCTGGAACAGTAAGTCACCAAATAACCATTCTCTGCCATCTTGCACTGGTATAACCACAATTTTACAGCCTGCATAGTCAGTTTATACCTTGCTGAGACTTAGAAACCCACCAATTCCATATTCAGATTTGCAGGACAATGTGTCACTCAGTTGTTGTGGTGGCTTCTCTGTCCTCTTAACCTGACAAGTGACTCATATTTATTTTCATGGAGATTTGAATTACGGCTTCAAAGAAAACTTTCAGCAGTGCTCTCATGCTCATTATCTGCTCCTTGCTCATTAGGCAGAAAAATGACATTTTAAAGCCTTTCATAAATATCAGAGGGACTGTATTGACTCGACATTTTTTGGTATAACATTTCTGCTCATAACTACATGAAATGAATACATTTACTAGCAAAAATGCCAAGAGTAGGATTTTGGAAATCCTGTGAAAAACTTTTAGGCAGTGGACGTAAAGGTACTTTATAGCTGCATGTTTACATACTTAATCTGCCTTTTCAGTTATATGAGTGCCTTTATTCATCTGCTGGATTGCCAGGCTCAGAGGTTAAATCCATCTTCCCCTCCCCTGTGTCTGGTGGTTTGCACAGGCTGGATTAAACAATTTCCCACAGTTTTCTGCTTAGATAGCTTTGCTTGTCTCTCTTTACTAAACTGATCTTCAGAGACCTTTCAAACAGGGGCTCCCAGATGAAGAGCAAATCTTCATCTGGGAAGGTCATCAGAGCATAGCTGGAGCGCCAGCATTGCATCTGGAGGCAATACCGAGGCTCTTGAAGGTACATCAGCACTTCTGAAAGTAGGGGTTTTTCAGCAAAATACTACAAAGGAGCATTGCACTGCTCTGCAAATGCCTACTTTTTTAGCTTAATGCTTATCTAAGAGAAGGTGTGGGCAAATTAGAGCGCTTTGTTGTCCTGATCAGGATATAAGTAAAGAAAAAGTTGATGGACTAATGAATAGAGGATGTTTAAAAAAGCAAGATTAAATTATAGCTCCATAAGGAATTCTTTGCATTCAAATGTTACCATTTCTGCAAGACTTTATGACTTTATAGATGTATTTAAAGTTGTCTTGCAACACCAATGAATACCATGTTAAAACAAATACTTTTCCCCGGTGGCTTAAATAAATCATTCTGCCCTTCACTCCACACTGAGGAATTTCAATATTCAGTGTAGACTGGGGCTTAAAGCACCTGAAAGATACTGTCTTAGAGGGTAAAGCATCAGCCTGTACAGTAGGTTTCCAGGCCAGAAAAGGGTAAATGGAAAATGAAATACACAGATCAAAGAAATATATAAATATAGAGACCCAGTATGCAGCTTGAAGCATGGCAACTTGATAAGTACCTATATGGAAAGAGCCCAACCAGGCTTGTAGTTGAAAATATATATACAGAATGAGATGAAAACCCCCACCCATTCCCCCCTACACCTTCAAAACTATAAACAAGCAAACAAACAAGCACAAAAAACCCCAACCCAAAACAACATTTTGATTTTTGCAAGCAAATTAAGCAAGTAAAAAATCCTCTTTTGCATGTTTGAAACAATACTTATGAATAGT